CAACCTCGGCTTGGAGAGGGGTTCCTGAGAGAAGGGGTATTTGAGAGCAGAAAAAAAATCAATTATGGGGTACAATCTGTGTTATGCTTGAAACAACTTCTTCTGGAGATCTCCAACAGCTCATCCTGATAGCTCAGCTCTCCCTGACCGAGACCCAGTCTTTTATTTACATCTAAATTCAGTCATTTAGTCTAGGTTCCCCTTTAATTATCCCACAAATCAGCATTCTGTGACCCCGCCCCCTGATTCTTAGAAAAAGACAGCAAGCATATTTTTTAACATTGCAAATGAATTCAGAGATCTGCCTGCCTTTGTTAGTACAAACAATAAGTTTGGCTGGGTGGGATCTCATCCTGAAATTACCATTCCTGGTCCTGGACCTGAACTCTCTGTCCCTTGCTGACCTTGAACTCAGGAATCTGTCTGCCTTTGTATCTTTCTAACAAGCTAGCTTACAATGCAACTGGCTCTGCTCCTCTAGGTTCATGAAGCTCCTTATACAACCACATTGCATCCTTAAATTTTGCATAGTTGACAAATTATATATTTTTTAACTCATGTTTTCAGAGTTCTTTCCCACAGCTGTAAGGGTTGTCCTGAAGGTCTCAGGGTTTACCATTTGCTGCGACACTAGATCTATCTTTGCCACTTGGACTCATAATGTCTTGATTATCATGCAGTCATTAACCTTGGCAGAGAAGACATTCCCTAATAACCTTGGCAGGGAGAATGTTTCCTGAAAGAGGAACATGAAGCAAAATCTATAGCTTTTTATACAAACAAACCTCATGCCCAGCAACCATCAACACTCATGGATGCCCATGCCCTGCAGGCTGTTTCAGGGGCAGTAAAACAGTCTGTCACACCATTCTTCTGGGTCATGCAGGACTTGAAAGACCATGTGATGTATTCTCCTGAGAAGGTATAAAAACTAAAAATGACAACAAAAGAAAGCAGGCTTCTTACTGACAAGAACAAGGCTTCTTTCATTCAGAAATAAGAAAAGTTTTTTTTCTTTCACCAATAGAGATGAAGCCTTTTGTATTTCAGCAATAAAGATGATGAGTTTTTTTTCTTATTTTCAGCAATAAAAAGATAGAAGCTTTTTCTTTCTCTGAGCAATAAAAGTTGGAGCTTATTTTTCATCCAGAATGAGTGTCTTTTTCTGCATTGGTATTTGCTGAATGGAACCTGATCCTGGGGTTTTTGCTCCATCCACCAAATGTGTGTATGTATGCATGTATGTATGTATGTATGTATGTATGTATGTATGTATGTATGTATAGGTGTGTGTATGTAAGTATGCATGAATATTTGTGGAGTTGATAAGACAGGTGGTCAGGCCCAACCCCAACCAGAATGTGTGTTTGTGTGTGTGTGTGTGTGTGTGTGTGTGTATGAATATATGTGTGTGTCTGTGCATATTGCCTGTGTACAAGTTTTTCTTTCTGAGAGCATGACTTTCCTGGCTCACAAGGAGTTAAGGAACTCAGGAAGAGAACAAAGAGCCAGAATAATCACTTGTTTACTTAAACACCCTCCACCCCCAACCCCCATTAAACAATCACGTGTTAATTCCCTGATGCCAATGGCTTCTGGCCCCAGCATAACAAAGAATTTAAAAAGAAAACCGCCAGTGCTATGCCCCCACTATGGCCTTCCAAAGAGAGAGAGAAAAATGCCCTGCATGGTTCCCAGCAGGTCACTCCCTAGGTGAACTGAAGCTTATCAAGTCTCAAATGTTTCTCTTCCTTTCCTTCTCTTTGTTCCCATTTCTCTCAGCCCCATCTTTTCTGCCTTCCTCACTAAAGAATATTTTATGGGGACTCACTTTTGCTCATCATAACACCTGCATTCTACTTGCTTGTTTAAAAGTTGTTTTTAAATGCTCAGATTTTCAAATATACATTTGAAACGAATTCATCACATTACACTTACTACCTTATGTGCAGTACATGTAGTAGTAAAATATCTAAGTTTTATTTTAACTCTATTAGTCCTACAATTGAATGAATTTCTCTGTGAACTTTCAGAAATACTCTAAAATTCACGTTATGATTCCCTAGATGTTAAAATACTAATTCTCTTCTTCTATTTGCATGCCATTCCTCTTATCCACAAGCACACATATGCTTATTTATACTGACATTGCTCACATTACTCCTACACAACCATGGAAAAACTATATTCTTGCTAGGATTTTGCGGCCAGTGTGGGTGGGAATTGCTTTTGGTGAGATGAATCAACAATGATGTTTTAAATTGTATTCACTAGTCTATTTTTTGGTCAAATTTTTTATGTTACTATAGTTTTTAAAGTTAACAGTCTTAGTCCTTTGAGAGTTTTGTACAAAAAGTTTTAATCATATTCACTCCCCTGCCCAAGTTCTTAGGTATTTTGTAATTCCTTCTGGGATGTGTTTGTTTGTGCATGTGTGTGTACATGTATGAGTGCTGGTGTACTCACCTGTGGCTGTGGGTGCTGAGACAGAATTTCTCACTGAACCTGTAACTCAGCACTTCTAGCTAATCTGGCTTCAGATAAACCCATGGTCTTCGTGTTGTGTCCACCAGTGCTGGGATTACAGATACATGTTGTTGCTCCATCCCAGTGTGTCCATCAGAGCTGGGAACAGAGATCCACTGCTCATGGTTGGGAAGCAGACACTTTGCCACTGAGCTGTGTCACCCTTGATCCAGAAGTAGAGTCTCTCTCACTTCCAAGTCATGTGAACCTGCAACCCAATCACCTTCTTTTAAGTATTTTCTTAGTGATCACTTGTCAGGGACCACCCCAATCAGGTATGGGGGTCCCTGAGACGAGTGTCCTTGAAGGCTAGATGGATAAGGATTTGGTGGTGGCAAACAGAAACACAGAGGCAGTTTGATTCTGAGTGTATTTTGCAGCTCTCAAGCAAGGGTTTTATACATAAAAAACAAGTACTACAACTCTAAAAAGATGTATCAGTGAAACAATCACAAATAGGACAGATAATGTCATTTGGCACAGTAAAACACAAAAATCATCCAAGTATTTCAACTCTAAAAAGACGTATTCAGTAAAGCAATCACGGATAGAACAGGTAACGTCATTGTTATTTCGCACAATAATAATTATCCAGATATTACAATTCTGAAAGGGTATATTCAGTGAAGCAGTCATCCAAAGCTAGTGGCATATATCCAAGAGCAGGTTAATAAATTTTTATGATCAGCTATTGTTTAACATCTAGTGCCTGATTTTTTGTAAATCTTCAAGGCATAAATTTAAACCACTTTAATTCTTTTTATTTAAGGCTTTCCATATACCATATGAAATTTTGTTAGGAAAGTTCTTATCTATCATAATACTATTACGTAATTTTGTAAATGATTTATGAAGTAAAGCTCTGGTTTTCCCTGAGATAAGGTCATGGCTAGTGACCCCGTCTCAAGGGATGGTTTCTTACCCATTTTTCTCGCTTAAGATCTTAGCCTAGGCTATCAGAAACATTTTGTTAATAAGAAATGGAATAAAAGAAGATAAAACATATATTGCCATGAGAATTATGGCTCAATATTTTGTTCTGGGCAAGAGTTCCACAACCAGTTCCAGGAGGCCTTCTTCTTTTGAAGTTTTTGCCTCAGTCTGTGGAACTTGTCACACAGATTCTACTGGGGTTGATGTGGCAATTACTTTTGGGTAATTTTTATATTTGGCAATAGGTATCATTTGATCATTTGTTTTCTAATAGAATTGTTTACTTATTAAATATTAATAGATCTTTCTGATGCTTAACCCCGCCCTGCATCCCTCTGGTCTTCATGGCACTGTTGTCTCTGGCCCTGCCTTAGTTTAGAGAGGATTCGTGCCCACTGTTACCTCGGCTGCCACGCTCGTCCCCTCCTTTGTCTGGTGCTACACATACACTGTTTTCTAGTTTTCTGAATGTTCTTTGCTATTGCTTTGATGCCTTTTTTCCTGCTAATTTTTCCTCAAATATCAGACTTGGGAATTGCATGTAACTTCCTCAGTCTCAGAGGTTTTGTCTACTCCACACGCTCTTTGCTTATTAACCCATGAAAAGATGTTTTTCATTTTTTTGTATGATGGTGTGAAGTTAGCTGTGATAGTCTGTATTGTTGAGTCGACGGGATCTGGAAGCCCCCATGATGCAAAGCTTCTGGACACAGGTATAAGGCATTGTCTAGATTAGGTTGACCTCTACTCTTGAGTGTGAAGGGATAGTTAGATTAGTTAGCCCACACCTGTGAAGTCACATGATTGGCAAGTTACACCCGTAATCCAGATAATTGATATATTTTAATGGACACTTTGATACAGAATGTCTCTTGTGTCATTTTCCCCTTAATTTTGTCATTTAAGGAATATCTTGTTTTAATATTAAAAATATGTTAGCTTAGAGCTGGCCAAATCACTTACCTTGAAATATCTTTTTCTCTCATATTTTTAGATTAGCTAGAAAACTGTTGGTATGATTTATCTTTTTATGTAACTGGCCTGAGTATGTTATTCTTTTTTTTTTTCTGGTTTCATTTGTTACCATTATAATTTGTTTTCTTTCTGTTTACTTTCAATTTAATTTGTATTGTAGCACCTGGATTTTAATATAAAAGTGTAATTTTTTCCTTTTGTCTCTATTACATGATGTTACTTTTCCTCTAAGGAATGACTATGTAGCACATAAATTCACATAAATTTTTTAAAAGCATGATTTCATATCTGTACCTAGTAAATTAGTACTTATTTCTTGGTTCTAATTTCTAATTTAACGTCCTATGGTTTTAGAGCTGAAGCTTTTCTACTATTTTCAGTGCTTTAAGATGTGTTTTGACTTTGAGTTTGGCCTACCTTGTGACCTTGAGACTAACGTACAACCTGCTATTTATGCAGGAAGTAAATGATTAAGGAGAGGGGTATAACTTGTTGGTCTTTGCTACCTCCTTTATTCCACTTCTTATACAGGGAGGTTGAAATCTCCAATGAAAATACCAGTTTCTCCTATCTCCACATTTATTTTTTCATAATTTTTCCTCAAAAATTTGACACGTTGTGTCCTTTCAATGCAGGTAAAAGCTTATGCATGCTTTCTTCCTTTAGTAATGACTGCAGGGTCAGCATAAAATAACTTCCTTTCCCTTAACTTGTTTACAGATCCGTAGTTAAAATTGATATGGTTGTTAATTTATTTGCAAATGTAACATCTCTGTGAACCATATCCACTTTGTTTATTTTATCCATGGAATGGCTACATGGGAAGCAAGCTGCTTCTGATGACTCTGTCCCAGATATCATATTTTAGCTTTGTAGGCAGTAGCATCATTTTGGGTCCTGAAGTTATTTAGAAATCTTGAGGTCCCGTCACTTCAGGTTCCCCTGGAGAGAAGAAAACAGAATCAGACAGAAGCTCCTAGGAAGTGGGGACTCTCTGGATTTGGACCTGGTTTAAACTGTGCCCTCACGTTTCCTTCTCTTACTACATGTTTTCTGAAATGTGGATATTTCAGTCCACATCTTTCAATATAGGTAAAAAGCTTGTGCGTGCTTTCTTCATTCTGATGTTCCATGATACCAGAAGTGTAATAAAGTTGAAGGAGAATGGCCTGTGCATATTCATTGAGTCTCCCTGAACTCCAAATAGAGGGCTATCTAGCTTCAAGAGAGAGCATAGTTAGAGAAGTCTCAGAGGTAAGTTGTTTTAAGAGGTGACTGATGCATATGCCTTGTTAGGGATCTAGTGTACTGGTGATCAGTGCCCAGCTTGCATGTTTCCAGGTTCTCAGCCAGTTATTCAAGGAGTTGAAATAAAGGCACACAAAGATTGCAAAAGTAGCAGGAAGATGTTGAAAACAAAACCATAGAATAGGCCAGAAAGCACTGCAAGTGAGTAAAGGGCCACAGAGTCAAGTTCCTTGAGAGCTTGGACTATTGGCTGGCACTTGCTTTTAATAAGATTCGTGAGAAGGTGATGTGTGGTTACTTAGTTTTGCAATTGGTAGTGGCTAATGCAGAAACTCATAACTGGACAAAGTACTACATATGTGTAACTGTGAAATTTCACCTGGGATCATCTATAATCAATTACCTCTATCCAAAGAACAAGAAACATTGTGGGATAGGGTACAGAAAGAATAGAAGCAGGGGGAGGGGGAGGGGAAAGGGGGGAACCAGAAAAGGGGATAACAATGAAATGTAAATAGAGCCTTCGGGCTGGGGCAGACACAGAGTTGGTCTGCTCCTGTGGAGATACTGAATCCTGAGCCATCCTAGAGGAGCCACTGCACTCAGAGCAGCAGACACCAAGGTGGTTTGCACTTGGGAGACATCATATCCTGAGCCATTCTAGAGGAACCACTGCACCCAGAGCAGAAGGATTTCCAGATCCAAGAGGGGGCCTGAGTCCCAGGAGTTCTTCCACACAGGAGATTAGGAGAATAAGACCACAGAGACATCTGGACTCTGAGGAGCTCTGCAACAAGCAAGATAACTGGAAATACAGACTCCAGTCTTACACAGTGAGGGCAGGTAACACTAGAGTTAACCAGATGGCGAAAGGCAAGCGCAAGAACATAAGCAACAGAAACCAAAATTTCTTGGCATCCTCAGTACCCAGTTCTCCCAATATAGCAAGCCCTGTACACCCCATCACACCAAAGCAGGATTCAGAATTAAAATCACTTCTCATGATGATGATAGAGGATTATAAGGATATAAGTAACTCCCTTAAAGAAATACAGGAATACAAGTAAACAGGTAGAAGTCCTTAAACAGGAATCACAGAAATCCTTTAAAGAAATGCAAGAAAACACAAAGAAGGAATTACACAAAAACATTCAGGATCTGAAAATGGAAATAGAAACAATAAAGAAAGCTCAAAGGGAGACAACCATGGAGATAGAAAACCTAAGAAAGAGATCAGGAGTCATAGACACAAGCATCACCAACCGAATACAAGAGATAGAAGAGAGAATCTCAAATGCAGAAGATATGGCGGAAAATATTGACACAGTTGCCAAAGAAAATGCAAAATGCAAAAAACTTCTAACTCAAAACATCCAGGAAATCCAGGACACAATGAGAAGACCAAACCTAAGGATAATAGGTATAGATGAGAATGAAGAGTCCCAACTTAAAGGGACAGTAAATATCTTCAACAAAATTATTGAGGAAAACTTCCCTAACCTAAAGAACAAGATGCCCATAAACATACAAGAAGCCTACAGAACACCAAATAGACTAGAAGCACCTAAAGAAATGTTCAGTATCCTTAGTCGTCAGGGAAATGCAAATCAAAACAACCCTGAGATTCCGTCTCACACCAGTCAGAATGGCTAAGATTAAAAACTCAGGTGATAGTAGATGCTGGCAAGGGTGTGGAGGGTGTCCCATTGTTGGTGGGACTGCAAGATGGTGCAACCACTCTAGAAATCAGTCTGGCTGTTCCTCAGAAAATTGGACATAGCATTACCTGAGGATCCAGCTATACCACTCCTAGGCATATACCCAGAAGATGCTCAAACATATAACAAGGACATATGCTCAACTATGTTCATAGCAGCCTTATTTATAATAGCCAGGAGCTGGAAAGAACCCAGATGTCCTTCATCAGAGGAATGGATTCAAAAAATGTGGTATATTTACACAATGGAGTATTACTCAGCTATTAAAAACAATGAATACAAGAGTTTCCTAGGTAAATGGATGGAACTAGAAACTATCATCCTGAGTGAAGTCAGCCAATCACAAAAGAACACACATGTTATTCACTCACTGATTATTGGATATTAGCCCAGAACCTTGAAGTGCTCAAGATGCAACTCACAGGACACAAGAATTTCATGAAGAAGGAAGACCAAGTCGGGGTGATTCGGTCCTTCTTAGAAGGAGCAACAAAATACTCAAGGGAGCAAATATGGAGACAAAGTGAGGGACAGAAACTGAAGGAGGGGCCATCTGAAGACCATTCCTCCTGAGTATCCATCCCATGTGCAGTCACCAAAGGTAGATGCTGATGTGGAAGTCAGGAAGTGCATGCTGATAAGAGCCTGATATGGATGTCTCCTCAGAGGTCTTCAAGAGTCTGACATATTCAGAGGCAGATGCTCACAACTAGCCATTGAACTGATCATGGGGTTCCCAATGGAGGAGCAAGAGTGAAGGCCATTTGAGCTGAAAGGGTTTGTGGCCCCATGAGGAGAGCAACAATACCAACCAACCAGAGCTCCCAGGGTCTAAACCACCACCCTGGGAGCACTTAGGGAGGGATCCATGGCTTCAGCTGAATATGTAAGAGTGGAGGGCCCTGCTGGGCATAGGTGGAAGAAGAGATCCTTGGCCTCATGAAGGCTGGAAGCCCCAGAGGGTGGGAATTTTGAGGGTGGGGAGGTGGGAGTGGGGGGGTAGGGAGGGGTTACATCCGCAGAAAAGGAGGAGGAGGGGTGAGGGGATGGGGGTTCCTGGGTGGGTGGGGGATGGGGTAAGAGGACAACATATGAAATGTAAATAAAACATCCAATAAAAAAAAGAAATGTAAATAGAGAAAATATCCAATAAAGAAAAAAAGGAAAATAAAAGAATGTAAGAGGCATTGGGTGCGGTGGGTGCCAACTTCTAAACACATTAGCTCATAGATGCCATGTTCCTGAGCAGACCTTTACAAGATCAAGCCAGAAAAATTCCATCAAGACGTGTGAAGGGCCTCTTTGGCCCCACCATTAGTGGAGGAGTTATTGGCTCTTGGAGGCTCACAGGG